AAGGTAATGTTTTTTTCGGGAAGTCCCCATTCTGGTCAATCTAGGGATCCCCATGAATTTGCAGTGGCTATTGAGACATTTGAAATTTGAGAACAGAAGTTAGTGCTAACCCAAACTGGACAATCGAGATTGGACCACGATTTTTCAGGCTAACAAAGAACTTGGTCTAGCTTTCGACGAGCACGACTTGTTCTACTACAAAGATTTATTTCTAAACAAGCTGAAAAGGTACGAAAACCAAAGACACTTAAGAAGTAGGAAAATCGAACATCCTTTTTCCAGGAATCCAACGGATGTGGAGCTGTTCGACTTGGCACAATCTGATTCGGAGCATTCTCGTCATTGGTTTTTCCGTGGAAAATTGTTCGTGGATGGCGAAGAACGAAAAGTAAGCTCCACGATTGATGTTCTTGGCTGTTCCAAAGCAATTATCATATCAAAAGCTGAGATCGGTAGAGGAAGCTGTAAATGTAGGGCTATAGTTCGCATTCAGTGAAATATGGAGTCATAATTACACACCTAAGAAATAAAAGAGTATAAAATAAGTTCATTTGCAATCATTACTTTTGTCTTCGTTCAAAGCTCATTTTTTACTGCTAACTTTTGAAAATACTTTAGGAGTCACTAATGGACTCAATCAGGGGGACTCAAACACATTCGAATCCAAACAATGTCATTGCATTCTGCGACAACTCGAGGTAAAAATGTAATAGTTTTTCCTAGATCAATCGATATGCTTCGAAAAACAGCCTAATTGCATGGTGTCGAAGATGAAGGTCTCAATTTTGGACAAGTAAAAATGCATGAAGATTCGCGATTTCCGAATTTAGTACGTGAAAACAGGGACCGTACTTCTTTTCTGGAAAAGAGCTCTCGAAATTTATCAGAGGGTCCAAAAAAGTTATAGTTTTACTATATGAGCTATTATTCGAAAAAATTCGATTTGCGACGGCGCAATATAATTTCCAAATTGCTGGAAACTATATTTCTGAAATGTTCAAAACTGATGTACCATATATAGGTGGCGCCGAAAGTTCTGTCGTTTCATTTTCAAAAAA